AGTTTTCAAGTTCGCACAGTACCAAGTTGCAAACTTTGACGTGGTCATGCGCGCTGCCCAAGCGTGCGCGACAGCTAAATTTGAAATCTTTAGCCTACACATGCACAGAGAATATCCCTGTAAATTTTCAGTTTTGTACGTTGCCTGGTTCACAAAATCGTTTTCCGCCAAAGAAATTTTCACATTTTTTTTGGAATCCATACGCAAGTTCTAGGTGCGCATGAGCAAAAATTTTCAAATGGGAGAATGACACACGGGGTGGGAATATGTTCCCAAAACTTTAGCCTCCCAGCTTTCCTGACTGCTGAGTCGAAAGTGGATGACAAAGCCCACCGACCCACACTCGCCCACCACACACACATACACAGACAACTTCTCGACAATATGCGTTTTTGCTCGCTATAGCGGTGCAACAGCCCGGCACAGGAAAAACGCATAAAAATTCAAATAAGATCAAAAGGATGATAAAGCTATGGGAATTATAATTAGCTGTTTGCTAGAAGGAAACAAGTTCACTATCTGATGTTTTTTACTAAGCAAAATCGTGGAGTTTTTGCAGGGGAATAAACTATATTCTCATGGCAATTATATACGAAATTTAAACGAAACTGAAATCAACGAGGCTCAGGAATACAAAAAGCAGATGGCAGAGTTTCGTAAAGTAAGCTATTTTTCAGAGTGTAAGAGGACAAGTATTTTTTTGAGATACTAATTTTGGACCAGTAGATTAGATATGCCTTCCAATGGATAACCATTTCTCAGTTATTAATTCTGAAGAGTCTAATAAATGTCATTTTTTAAATTTCTTTTTGTAGAAACTCGATGAGGGTATGAATGACGCGTTGCGAACATCACAGAATGGAACGCTGCCGCCGTTTCCATCCCGACCGATGATGCCGAAATTTTGCTTTGGCAAAGATGCAGTGCTGTATGTATTCGCTGGATGCACTGTACAGGTGATTTAGTTCTTTGTTAAATTATATATTGAAGTTTGTAAATCTGACGGCTGCAGTGCCCAGGAACTCAAAAGCCTTCAAGCTTCAAGCTGTTCCTGGTCTTGATTTGTAAAAATTGATTTGAATTTTGGCCAATTCGAAAGCGACTAATTTTGGGTGAATTTTGTGCGTGTAGACCTTTTCATTTTCAGTTACAATACGAGTTTCTAACTGAATCTAAATTCTTGAAATTCCAGCTTCCTTGTAATTTTCACCATCTGAACTGGCAGTCACCTGCAGCCAAATCCATACTCATCACAACAACTCACCATATTTTTTGTTCATACGAGAACCTCTAAGAAGCTCTTAAGGATTATAATTGCCCCTGTCGGAACCAAACTCTTCACATTTCAGAATTACAAATTATACATCGGACAGAAGTTTGCTCGTGAACTAAACCCGGAAGAGCGAGATGAGCTTGATATTTTTGCTAAACAAATGGCAAGCGCTATGCCTGCACCCAATCCGTTGGTAAAAATCATTTTATTCAACAGTTTTTTTTCAGTGACTGAATATAATTAGGTCAGTGAGTGTAGCAGACTGTCATGAACACTTCATGCACTAGGCGTGCATTTTATACACTGAACATATCAACAACGTGGTTAGTACAAATAATATCTGCGAATAATGTGCGCCAGAATCCGAGTGAAAATTTGAAATATTACAGAATTTTGCAATGACGACAATCTTACGTGCTGGGTAAAATGATTAACTTAAAATGAAATAGAAGCATTCTGAATAAATTCTTGCTTCTCTTTTATACTCTAAGAGATAAAACAGAGTATAAAATGA